ATTCCTTGCCAGAGCAGAAATGACTCAAAAACAGCCGCATTATCACAAAGCAGTCCCCCACCCCGCCATAGCTGTAGCCCCAGAGCTCTCTGCAGAGCATATAATTAGCTCCACAAAAACTGGGGTGATAGCTTGAGAATCTTGAGTGTCTGCGTCCCTTAGTGTGAGCTTTTGTTCACCTCCTGAGTTTCATGAGCCTCCTGGAGACAAGAGACCCTGTCTCAGAAACCAAGAAAGAAGGAAGGAAAGATATCACTGCCGCCAGTACCCAGCCGCTTGGAAATCCTCCAGTGTGGGTCTCCTGAGCCCCTTTCGCAAACCTGGGTCCATGGCTGTGTCCTGCTGCCCATCCTCCAGGGTCTTCATTTTGGACTCGGGCATTTTTGACCTGGAGATGTCTCTTTTCTGATCCTGGATTGTGGCCAGTGTCCTGACACACAGGCACACACACATAAAAAGCTTTCCTGGGAGTGCTTGCTCTGCTGACACTCTGATCAAGGACCTCTTCGGGCTCACAGAAGTGGCTCCTGTCCTCAGGATGCCTACTCTTCTTCCATCCAGCTGTCTGTCAGGTGTCACCTTTGTCAAAAACTGACGGAGGTTGGTTTAGCCGGGAAGGCCAGATGGGAAGCCACACCTGGAATTTCACCTGGCCCCTTCCCCAGGGTAGGGGCCTTTGGAGCTGTTCATGTTTGCCAGCTAGCCCTCAGGTCTGGGGCTTGAGGTCAGAAAAGGGGAACATACTTTTGCAGTTGAAGGCCTGATTCTGCTTGGACAGCAGGAGTTGGGCCACACCCTGGCCTTGTTTTTGCTAACGTGACCTCCCAGAGCAGGTATGTGCTGAGGGTCTGTTTCTGGGAAATGTGGGCCAGTGCCTGGGGCCTGCTTTGCTGGACAGCACAGAGCTCTCATTTCCCTCCTGGCCTCTTTGCTTTTTCTTGCGTTTGCTTGGTTTGGGTTCTTCCTTTTATAGTCTCAGTGTGTGGAACCCCCACTGGGGATGGGATAGCCCCTTATTTCAAACCGTGAATGTTTGAGGAATCTTTGGAGTCAGGATTAAATGCTGCATTTAATCCTCCCATGCCCCTGAGACCCAGTTCTCTGTAAAAGAGGAAACTACCTGAATACTAAGCCTTCTAAAGGAGCTTGGAGATTGAGATTGTGTAACTGAATAGTGCCCAGCGTATTATTTAACAAGCAGCACTCGCATTTCCTGTATTTACTGTAGGAGACTTTGTCCTCATAGCTTGTGGACAGAGCCTGTCCTTCCCGCACTCACTTGGCAGCTATGCCCAGAGCCTGAACTATCTTAGGGGCTGGCAAGCTTGTCCCCCCACCCCTAAGAGGGTGGAGAGCCAAACAGGCCAGTGGCTGCATGAGACTGTTGGGGAAGGTTTGGAGGGATGCATAGTTTACAGCACAGGCTGGGGACAGAGGACAACCTCTGCCTCTCTGTCCTTTGTTCTTCATTGCTATATGCACTAGTTAACCTAGGAGCTTCTGGAGTTTCTCAGGTACATGGTAGGGACATCTGGCTTTACATCCGCTCTGGGGCCTTGAAGGAAATCATTTTCTCACAGTTGGGTGGCAAGCTCTGTCCATCAGAGCCATCTCCCAGCCTAAGATCTGTCTTAAGTA